CGAATCCAGGATATTCAGGACCGACAAGATTATCTAGCCTGGATTTTCCAAGATTTGGAGGAACAAATGTTAAAGATTGGTTGTTCAAATGTGAACAGTTCTTTAATATCGATCGTACTCCGGAAGACATTAAGGTAAATTTGGCATCAATTCATTTGGAGGATAAGGCTGCTTGCTGGCATCAATCTGTAATGGTTTCAGAACAAAACAGAGGTATGATTCTTGATTGGCCTAGATACAAGTTGTTAGTAACTGAAAGATTTGGTGAAGTTATAGATGATCCAATTGCTGATCTCATGAAACTAAGGGAAACTGATGGAATCATTGCTTATAATGAGATTTTTGAATCAATAAGAACTCGCATAAATCTATCTGAAGAACATTTGATGAGTGCTTATTTAGCGGGTTTAAGAAATGACACACAAATGCATATAAGGATGTTCCAACCTCAGTCTATTCGTCAATGTTTTACCCTGGGTAAATTGTATGAAATGGCTCATCCTAAAACAAGTTCTGTCAGTGGGAATCCAGGCTTTGGTAGAGGAAATTTTATCAGAAATGATGAAGGGGGAAAGAAGACTTCATTTAATAACATACCTAAAGCTGGAACTGTATATAAGGAAGGGAATAATCAGAAGTCAGTTGATTTGACAAAAGGGAATAGAAAAATTCTCACTGCATCAGAGATGAGTGAACGAAGGGCCAAAGGATTATGCTATCAATGTGATGAACCATATACACCTGATCATTATCTCAAACATAAGAAAAACCAGCTATTTTTAATTGAGATAGATGCAGAGGATGTGAATTCAGAAGAAGAGGTGTTAATACAAGAAAATATTCAAATTTCTGTTAATGCAATGGCTGGAGTATCTCAGTATAGTACCATGAGAGTCAAGGGAATGCATGGTAAAAGGGCACTCTTCATTCTAATAGACTCTGGCAGTACACATAACTTTATAGATCAAAGGATAGCTGAAAAGCTAGGTTGCAAATTGATTAACAATGGGCTGGCCAGAGTTATTGTAGCAGATGGCAACACCATTGATGTAACATCCAGAGTAGAAGGGTTTGAATGGACATTCCAACAAACTCCATTCACAACTGATCTTATGGTTATTCCATTAGGAGGTTGTGATATGGTTTTAGGAGTCCAATGGTTGGAAACCTTGGGAAAGATCTCTTGGGATTTTAAAGAGCTCACTATGACATTTAAGGTATCCAACAGGAAATTAGTATTACAAGGAATCAAGCAAGGATCTGTGAGGGAGATCAAAGCTAAAGAAATGAATAATGTCTTAACTCAGGTGGGGCAAATTGCTATGATCTGTGTACGAGAATATACAACGAAAGTCACAGATTGTTTTCTAACAACCATGGAAGTTGACAGTGAAATTCCAGATGATATTTCTCAGTTGCTGACTGAATTTGAAGACATTTTTCAAGAACCTAAAGAGCTACCACCATTCAGAGAAGGACATGATCATAAGATTCCTTTAATACAAGGTGCTAACCCTGTCAACCAAAGACCTTACAGATATGCTATTTGTCAAAAAAATGAGATTGACAAAATAGTGGATGAAATGTTGGATTCAGGCATTATTCAACCAAGTTCCAGCTCATATTCTTCTCCTGTAGTGTTAGTTAAGAAGAAAGATGATTCCTGGAGACTATGTGTTGATTACAGGAAGCTAAATGCCAATACTATCAAAGACAGATTTCCTATACCTCTTATTGAAGATCTAATGGATGAACTGGGAGGATCCAAAATATTTTCAAAGATAGATCTCAGATCTGGATATCATCAAGTAAGAATGAGCAAAGATGATGTACACAAAACAGCTTTCAAAACACACAATGGACATTATGAGTTTGTTGTAATGCCTTTTGGTCTAACTAATGCACCCAGAACATTTCAATATCTAATGAATTCCGTCTTTAGAGCTTTTCTGAGGAAATTTGTGTTAATCTTCTTTGATGATATTCTGGTTTACAGTGCTTCTGTGGAGGATCATATAATTTATCTAAGATCAGTATTTGAAGTTATGAGAACTAACAAACTGTTTGCTAAGAGGAGCAAATGTGCTTTTGCTGTTAATAGAGTGGAGTATTTGGGACATTACATTTCTGATAAAGGTATATCTACTGATCCAAAGAAGGTTGAAGCTGTATATAACTGGCCTGTTCCCAAAACAGTGAAACAACTCAGGGGGTTTTTGGGTTTATCAGGATATTACAGAAGGTTTGTAAAGAATTATGGTGTGATTGCTAGACCATTATCTTCTCTTCTTAAGAAAGACAGTTTTAAATGGTCTGAAGAAGCTACTTTGGCTTTCCAGAACCTGAAAATTGCATTATGTCAAGCACCTGTATTAGCACTACCCAATTTTGAAAAGCAGTTTGTGGTTGAGACAGATGCTTGTGGATATGGTATTGGTGCTGTTTTAATGCAAGAGAATCATCCACTGGCTTACATCAGCAAACATTTGAAGGGTAGACAACTACATTTTTCCATATATGAAAAAGAACTTCTGGCTGTTGTTTTTGCTGTGCAACAATGGAGGCATTATCTACTCTATACTCATTTTGTTATTAAGACTGACCAGAAGAGTCTTAAGTATCTACTAGAGCAAAGACTGAATACCCCTATACAACAACAATGGCTTCCTAAACTGTTGGAATTTTATTATGATATTCAGTATAAACAGGGCAAAGAAAATCTGGCAGTTGATGCACTATCCAGGATAAAGAGTGCAGATATTTTGAGTATGGCCCTAACAGTGGTGGGATCAGATTTGTTACAATCTATTCAACAATGCTACCACACTGATCCTCAACTTCAACAAATCATTGAAGTACTTAAAACAAATCCTACAGGGAAGAAGTACTACACTTGGCTACATAATCAGCTTAGGAGGAAAGGGAAGCTGGTTATAGGTAATGAGGTAGCATTGAAAGATGAAATACTGAAGTGGCTTCATTGTGCAGGTACCAGTGGTCATTCAGGAAGGGATGCTACAATCCAAAGAGTTAAGGCACTATTTTACTGGAAAGGAATGACTACTGATATTCAACAATTTATTAAAAGCTGTAATATTTTCCAGCAAACCAAATATGACAGATCAGCTTCACCAGGACTCTTACAGCCATTACCTATTCCTGAGAGTGTATGGAGTGAAATAACCATGGATTTCATTGAAGGATTACCCCCCTCTTATGGAAAAGCTGTTATTTTTGTGGTAGTGGACAGATTGAGCAAGGCTGCCCATTTTATGTCTCTTTCACACCCTTATTCTGCTGCAACAGTAGCTCAATGCTTCTTAGATCATGTTTTTAAGCTACATGGGTTTCCACAATCAATTACAAGTGATAGAGATGATGTGTTTATGAGTGATTTCTGGAAAGAACTTTTCACATTACAAGGAGTTTCCTTAAATACTTCAACAGCTTATCATCCTCAAACGGATGGTCAGTCTGAAGTTGTTAATAGGTGCTTAGAAACCTATTTAAGGTGCATGTGTAGTGATCAGCCTCATCAATGGAGTAGATGGCTTCCACTGGCAGAATGGTGGTACAATACCACATATCACACCTCCACTCAGCTCACTCCCTATGAAGTAGTATATGGCCAAGCTCCACCTATGCATTTACCTTACTTACCAGGAGAAGCTAAGGTTGACATGGTTGCAAGAAGCCTCCAAGCCAGAGAAGATACGATTCAAATTCTAAAATTTCACTTGGCCAGAGCACAACAAAGGATGGAACATTATGCTAATTTGCATAGGAGTGAAAGGGCATTTGACATTGGAGATTTGGTTTATGTCAAACTGCAACCTTATAGGCAACAAAGTACAGTATCTCGAAATCACCAAAAACTATCTCCCAGGTACTTTGGACCTTATAAGGTGATTGACAAGTGTGGTGCAGTGGCCTACAAACTACAACTTCCTGATTACTCTCGCATTCATCCAGTGTTTCATGTGTCACAGTTAAAGAAACATGTGTGCAATGCATTGAGTTCTTTAGTTTTACCTTCTGTCATGCCTGATTTATTTGAGAAGAAGCCAATAGCCATTTTGGAAAGGAAACCGGTGAATAGACAAAATAAAGCTGCTACTAAAGTTCTGGTGCAATGGAGCTATCAACTGGTGGAAGAAGCAACATGGGAATTCTTATATGATTTGAAGAAGAAGTTTCCTGATTTTGAACCTTGAGGTCAAGGTTCTTCCACCAGGGGAGATTTGATATAGCAAATAGTTATTAACTGAATTCACACGTGTATAACTACTTTACTAAAGTCGGTTAATAGCTCTTAGCAGCTCTATTAGATATAAAAGGAAGCTGGTCATTGTAATCTGTACACTTTTTGCTCATTCAATTCTATCAATAATATCTTCCGCTCTCCCTGTACATCTTGTTGCTCAAGAAACCATTTGTGGACTTGGGTAGAGAATTGTTGTTTTCACATTAATTCTCATTTCATCTGATTTCTTCATTTGATTTTTCAGTTTAATTCTTGTTAATACAGAATTACTGTATTAGTACGGTACGGTGAGTGAGTCAAAGACTATGCACTTGAACTTGAGACATCTCGTGGAGGCGACAAGGACAAAAGAAAAGGACAAACGACCATGGAAGCGGGAGCTACGAATAGTAGATTACCTTTTTATTACTAGTTTTGTCTACATATTGTTTAGCAATTACTTAGTTTATATATAATTGCATGCGTTATACGGAGTAATGTTATTTATAATGTTTTGGCCCACAACTAGCATTGGACAGACATGAAATCATGTTTACGTCCAACATGTACATGTTATTTTACACGTTTGCCTATGGACACATATATAAAGGGCGTGTACAAAAAATACGTATAAGTGAGGTGTAAAAAGAGATTTAAAATTAAGATGGAAATTGTGCACACAAACCCTCTATTTTTTAGCCTTTTTTAGCAAAAGTTTGAAAAATTATCTTATACTCCGTACTCCGTAGGATTTAATTGCAAACTCACAGCCAGTTTTGAAAACGATGTTAGGAATTCAGACAATTTTGAAACACACCGCCAGAAACTTCAAACCCGTCTCCCTCTCTATGTCCTTTTGGGTTTTGGGTGTGAGATGGAAGCAATAAGGAAGCAAGCTACAAAGCTTAGAGAACAGGCTGCCAAACAACAGCAGGTAACTCTCTAAACATTCATGCGTGTCGGAATCAATAGTCAACAGCACGGTTCCCCGGTCTTTGTCCTGTCCCACTTTTTGGCGGACATTTCGGGTTTAAACAAAGAAAAGTTAATGAACCCTAAGTTCCAGTTGACGAATGGGTGAAGCTCAGCTATGGTTTATCTGTGCCTACTGTTTGAATATAGTTTTCCTAAATCTTTTTTGTTTTTTTTTTCATTTTCGTTAAAGATGTTATGTTCTGGTTGGTACTCTTCTGTTTTCTCTCAACATAATTGATTAAGGGGTTTAATTAATTTATTTTATCATCGCTGAGCAATAGTTTAGTGATGTTCTGAAGACATGAGCAAAGATAGAAGGGACTGTTGGTTTTGAGCAAACAATGTACTACCGCCATCCCATTGGAAAGTGTGGTGTGATGATTAACGAAGCTGGAATTATGTGACTGATTTAAATTGAGAAACAATGAATTAGAGGCTCACAAATATCACCAAGTAGCGGGATGACTCATGAAAAACACTGCCTTGGGCGCACATGTTTGAGCTTGTGTTAAGAGTTCCACATTATTAGGTGAAAGAAAATACAAGTTTCTGTTAAGCCCAGGCCATTGGTTTAGACTAACTTAATGATATAAATTTTATATTTTAGTACGATTTGCCTTAAGCCATCACACCTGTTCAATTCAAAGATACAAACCCACTTATAAGGCCTTGGAATACTCACCCCGTCTGGTAGATCTTTTATAGTGGAACTCTAAGTCTTTATGGTTTGTAGTATTATGCATTACACATTTTCAAGAGTAGGACTGGTAGAAGATATATCTTTTTTGCACAATTGGAAAGATTGGGTGCTGATTTTGTAAATCCACTATGACTATGTAATCAATTGCTTATCTACTCATTACGGAGTATTAGATATTGGTTCATTATTATTCTAGGAAGTATTAGATATTGATCAAGGCACAACAAGTACGGAGTATTAGATATTGGTTCATTATTATTCTAGGAAGTCTTGAAAAGGTTTTCTGGTGGGCTGGGAGGTTCAGACAATGGTATACCTAATGAAGCAGAGCTGCTGCAGCATCAAAATCTCGAGAAACTTTATATTTCTACTCGTGCTGGAAAGGTTTTATTATTTTTTCTTTTTAAACTATGTTTTACTTTAATTTACTGCAAAATCTTTCTCCTCTCATTTGCTGCTGTGCACTACCATTTGCTAATGACAGCAGTTTCAAAGGGATATTGTTCAAGGTCTGGAAGGTTACATCGTCACAGGGTCAAAGCAAATAGAAATTGGTGAGTTATACTGAGATTGCGAGATGTGTGACATCATAGCTGTTGCTAATATTCCAAAATCCTTAATAGGTACCAAGTTGTCTGAAGATGCCAGAAAATACGCAACCAAAAACATTTGTACCAGTAGTAGCACACTATCCAAGGCTGCACTAAGTTATAGCATGGCTCGGGCTCAAATGGAAAAGGAACATGATATTCTTCTAAAGGCATTGGAAACACAGGTTTGAAAAATCTATCAGTTATTAAACTGATATTTTTCTTCAAATCCTTCATAATAGTTGCTATTTGAGTATTCTATTATTCATAGGTGCACCTAGGTGTGAGGCGGCAGGAAGACACTCTGCATAGTAGAAACTAAAGGCATGGAAATGGCGGTCAACGGGAGAGTTGACCACTGAAAGCGTGAAAAGGCGTAAGCCTAGGCGCAAAAGGCGAAGCCTTAGCGTGAAGAGCAGAAGTTTTTAGATTAATATTTTTTTGCAAAGAAAAAATTGATCAAATTTAAAATAACTATGTTTATAAGTATGTTATAAATGTAATTGTAATCTAATCATCATCATCATCATTATCATTACCCCATTGCCGTACTAAAGCATAGAGAGATTGTTTCCGGATGACCCATAGTGAAAATCGCGTCAAAAATTGCATGGATTGACTGCTGCTTCATAACAAAGAAGCGCAAAGAGTTTAGTGAGCCCATTTGCTTTATTCCATCATATTCCCAAGCCAAAAAATAGTGTGTCTTTGGCTCCATTGCAAATGATGGAAAATTTGTGAAAGATTGAGTAATGTAAAATAAACAAAATATTGATTTAAATATTTGACCCGTCCTCGACGTATATTCTAGATCCGCCCCAGCTCCCTAACAAGTATATCAACATTCCAAGCCTCCAAGGATCCCACAGTACTGTGGGATGAGGGTGTTATCATACCTCAAACAAGTATGTCAAGATATTCTGTTCAAGATCGTCAATTTCTGCTGAACCCAAGTTCTGCTCTTCCAGCTTTTGAGCTCCATGCACAGGATCAAATAAGGAGTAGAGTTGCCTAATACCATGAGAGCAACAATATATGTAGTATTATTTTGCATGTGTACATTTTATTCATTTAAAAATTATAGATTTGCTGAGTAAAATAAAAATTCTGCTGAATATCGTTTGCATATTGATTATTTTTCTTTATATATCACTAAATAATAATCATCCATTAAAATCTAAAACGCATGTTCACGCCTAGACTTCGCCTATTATTGCCTAGGCTTCAAGGCTTAATGCTTGGCATTGACGTCTTGCCACACCTCACGCCTTTTAGAACACTAATTCATACTAGCTTCTTAAACTGCTTATCGCCATGAAATTGGTGAGCTGGACGTTCTTTTGATACTTTTATAATCACTTTAGGTTGCTGAACCTTTAAGGGCAATGATTGTGGGAGTTCCATTGGAGGAGGCTCGACATCTTGCCCAGCGTTATGATAGAGTGAGACAGGAAGCTGAATCGCAGGTAATCTTTTGATTAAAAGTATCAACTATGTGTTAACTTGTTGCGTTCTTCTCTATCATGTTTTTCCCTGGTTCATTTAATTGGGACTGTATTATTTACAAATAATACTACCTCCGTTCCACTAAGATTGGGACAAGAGAAGGTGGCACGATTATTAAGAAAAGTGGGTTTGTGTGGTTGATATTAAATTGATAAAGTAAGAATAAAGTAAGAATGATTTATAGCCACACAATCTTTACCAAATTTGGTATGTGACAATCTTAGTGGGACTTCCCAAAAAGGTATAATGGGACAATCTTAGCGGGACGGAGGGAGTAACAAAAATGCTATGCAAACCTACTTTCATGTGAGATTTCAGATATGAGGTACCATTCGTTTAATTGATGTAATAAGCAATCCACTTGCAGCATTGTGAAGTTCTATAGTTATACCTACGTTCTTTGAGCCTGGCCAGGCTATTGAAGTTTCTAGATGGCAAGCTAGAGCAAGGGAATCTAATAGTAACCCAGAATATATGTCCAAGTTGGAATCTGCTGAAATAAAGCTTCATGAACTAAAGTCAAGTATGGTTACACTGGGCAAAGAAGCTTCGGCTTCAATGGCTGCTGTTGAAGCTCAACAACAAAGGTTGACCCTTCAACGGCTTATAACCATGGTAATACTCTCCACTAAATTGCTGTTTGTTGTTCCATGTCTCAAGCAAAGAGAAACTGTTTTTTGAAATCCTCTTTATCCTTTTATGTTTTGTTTGAGGTCGAGGCAGAACACAATCATCATCAACGAGTCCTGCAGATACTTGATCAGCTTGAAACAGAGGTATATAGTCGAATTAGCACAACCTCTGTTCCACAAAAAGACTCATGTTTGACCAATGCCCATCTTTTAAATTTGGTAAAGTATGACTATGATATGCCATACTTATTTTTTGGTTTAAAACAAATTTATTATGTCACGCGTTTTTGATTTTATTTGGTAAATTCATGTAAAACTTATCTTAGTTTGATCAAAGTGGACTCTTTCGGGTATAAAAAAAGTGATTGAAAGACAGTAAGACACAAGACCTTTTTCTGGGATGGATGTAGCATGTTTGTGAAATTTAGGATGTATGTCTTAAAGAAAGCTCATTTTGTTAGTAGAAGATTTGCATGTTTAATAATGTTATGATGAATGATGTCTTGTCCATGCATAGATGTTGTTGGGACGTCATGCTAATGGAATGATAGAGACATGGGAGATACGCCTATTAAATATTGTAATAAGGTGTATAAAATAAGGAATAAAAAGGGGTAGTGAGTTAGTTAATTAGCCCGTTAACTAATTAGTATTCTATCCTGAGGGAATATTGATATAAATAGAAGGTGAGCAGCTAAAATAAGGAGGTTGTTATTTCTGTTGGCTTCGGCTTTGGAGATTTGGGCTTCTCGAACAGTCCTGAGATTGTATTGTGTTCCTCTTGTTCAATAAACTTTCTGATCAGTTTCATTATCATTTCTGTTAGATCTACTCGTTTATATCAGTTGAATTGCAGTCGCAATCTATCATTGGTATCAGAGAGAAGATCCTGTGTCGCGAAATTGAGTTACAGTTGATGTTTCTCGTGGTGAATGGTTCGTACGAGAGCAAAAATGGATATACGTATGGATTCTGTGGAACGCAAGTTAATGGAGGTTCAAGCGGAAATGAAGGAGGAGTTACAATCCGCTGTGAATGACCAGCGATCAGCGCTGGAAAATTTGGCGGCAACATTGACGGCGTCCATGGCTGCGTTGAGTGAGCAGTTTCGATCCAGAGAGAGATCGCGCTCACCACAACATCATCCGACGAGACTTGATAACATTCCAATTAATTCAGGAGGTAATCCGAATCCTTATCACCTTCCGCCGCACAGAATACATGAAGATTTTAATAGATTTACTGTTCCAAATGGGAGAAAGATTGATTTACCTGTTTTTACGGGAGATAATGCTTATAATTGGATTGTACGCATGGAGAGATACTTTCGTTTGAATCGTATCACTGAGGAAGAACAGGTGGAGGTAGCCGTAGTGGCGATGGAGGGTAGAGCTATTAATTGGTTCATATGGTGGGAACACCAAACTGACAGGAGAAACTGGGACACTTTAAAAACAGCTTTGATACGTAGGTTCCAGCCAGATCTGATACAGAACCCTTATGGCCCAATGTTGAGTTTGAAACAGCTGGGAACAGTGAGGGAGTTCAGAGATGAGTTTGAGTTGGTGATAGCACCTCAGATAAATGTGGACATGGGTATCCTAAGAGGAATTTTCATCAATGGGTTGAAGGAAGAGATTAAGGCTGAGCTGAAATTACATAACTCTAATTCTCTGACTGAGGTGATGGACAAGGCTCTACTGATTGAGAGTAGAAATGAAGCTATTTACTTGAGAAGAAAAGAAGAGGACAGACTTTCATGGAAGGAGAAGGGTCCTACAACTTCAAAATCTCAGGCATGGTTTGATGGGTTTAAATCCAAACCGGGAAACTCATGGCCTTCTAACACAGGAAAAACTGCAGTGGATAGCAAAAGTAACACAACATGGAGTAATCCAGTAGGGACTAAGATAACAGAAATCCATCCTTCTGGAATCAAGAGACTGGGACCACAGTTATCACAAGATGAATACCAGGAAAGGAGCAGAAAAGGGTTATGTTTCAAATGTGGGGAGAGATGGAACAGAGAGCATACTTGCAAACTTAAAAATTACAAGCTCATTTTGGTTGAAGACTCAGAAGGGGAAAATGAACCTGAAGAACCAGAGGTGGAAATCCAGGAGGAAGAGGAGACTGTCATGGAGTCAAAATCCATGCAACTTTCACTCATGAGCAAGGAAGGTATACCTTCAATGAGGGCTTTTAAAGTAAGAGGTTATCTGAACTGGGGTCAGAAGAACCAGCCTGTGGAAATACTCATTGACAGTGGGGCATCACATAACTTCATATCTCACAGATTAGTGGATCACTTATCCCTACCTTATAACACTATTTCTGCTTATAAGGTCCAAATTGGCAATGGAGAACTGATACATAACAACGGGAGGTGTGAAAAACTGAACCTGCAATTACAAGACACAGCAATTCAGCAAGATTTCTACATATTAGAACTGGGAGGTACTGATCTAGTATTGGGCATGGAGTGGCTGACTGGTTTGGGTGATGTGGAGATCAATTTTCTTAAGCAGAGTATCAAATGGGAAGAGAAGAAGCAGCAAAAGATTCAAAGGGACCCTCATTTAAACTCCCTTGAAATCTCTTTGAAAACTCTAACAAAAATCTTACAAGATGCTGGTGATGGTTATTTGATGTATTGTGTGGGAAGGCAGAAACAATCAAAGAAAATCAGAAGAATGAAGCAGTATGGGAAGAAATTTTGGCTGAGTTTCCTGAAGTTTGTCAGCCTTTGAAACAACTGCCTCCCAGTAGAAGTTGTGACCATACCATCAACATTCAAGAAGGAGCTTGCATTCCAAATATAAGACCTTATAGATACCCTCAATATCAGAAGAATGAGATTGAAAGAATTATCAAGGAGATGTTGGCAGAAGGGATAATTCAGAACAGTAACAGTCCATACAGCAGCCCTATTCTTCTAGCTAAGAAGAAAGATGGGGGATGGAGGTTTTGTGGAGATTATAGAGCCTTAAACAAAATCACTATCCCAGACAAGTTCCCTATACCAATAATAGAAGAATTATTGGATGAGTTGGGTGAAGCCAGAGTTTTTTCTAAGCTGGATCTTAAATCTGGATACCATCAGATCAAAATGAAGGAAGAAGATAGACACAAGACAGCTTTCAGGACTCATGAAAGGCATTACGAATATCTGGTGATGCCATTTGGGCTCACAAATGCACCATCTACCTTTCAGGCTGTAATGAACCAGGTACTGAGGCCATTTCTAAGGAAGTTCGCACTTGTATTTTTTGATGACATTCTGATCTACAGCAATTCCTTGGAAGAGCACCAAGTACACTTGAGGAGGGTACTCACAACTCTAAAGGAAAATCATTTGGTGATAAACTTAAAAAAATGTTCATTTGGACAATCTGAATTGGTTTATTTGGGGCATATAATATCAGAAAAAGGGGTATCAGCTGATCCTACCAAAATTGAAGCTATGATGAAGTGGCCTGTACCTAAAGATTTGAAGGGAGTGAGAGGATTTCTGGGGTTAACAGGGTATTACAGGAAATTTGTAAGAGGTTATAGTAAAATTGCTTTTCCTCTTACACAGTTGTTGAAGAATGATGTGTTATCATGGAATCTGGAAGCAGAGCAAGCTTTTAATGAATTAAAGAAGATCATGACTACATTACCAGTGTTGGCTACTCCAGATTTCAATAAAACATTTGTGATAGAGACTGATGCATCAGGAACAAGTCTGGGAGCAATTTTGATGCAAGAAGGGAGGCCAGTTGCTTATATGAGTAAGCAATTATCACCCAGAAATCAGCAGAGGTCTGTATATGAAAGGGAGCTTCTGGCTATTGTTCTAGCAATACAGAAGTGGAGACCTTATTTATTGGGCAGGCATTTTGAAGTTCATACTGATCAGAAAAGTTTAAAATTTCTTAATGAACAAAGGCTTATGGGAGAAGAACAACATAAATGGACCTCCAAGTTATTGGGCTTTAATTTTTCCATTAAATATAAGCCTGGTGTAGAAAACAAGGCTGCGGATGCTTTATCCAGAAGACCAGTTTTACATTCATTGTCAGTTGTTAATTGCCAAGAATGGGAGGGTCTAGAAGAAGAATTAAGTAAAGATCCAACAAGTCAGGAACTCATTAAGAAAATTATTTCTTATCCAGACAGACACAAAGAATTTCAGGTCATTAAGGGCTTATTATATTACAAAAGAAGATTAGTGCTACCAAAAGGATCAGCAAAGGTTTTGAAAATACTGAAAGAATACCATGATTCAGCTGTGGGAGGACACTCGGGGTATTTCAGGACAATGAAGAGGGTTGAAAGTTTGTTTTATTGGCCAGGCATGAGGAATGATATCAAAAAATATGTGGCAGAGTGCCATCTGCCAAACCAACAAGTATCAAACTCTTAAACCTAGTGGTTTATTACAACCACTGCCCATTCCAAACAATATCTGGACAGATATTAGTATGGATTTCATTGGAGGGTTGCCAAAATCTCAAGGGAAGGACACTATATTGGTAGTTGTTGACAGGTTCACTAAGTTTGCTCACTTTATAGCCCTATCTCACCCATTCAATGCAAAGGAGGTGGCTGAAGTATTCACCAAAGAAGTAGTCAAACTGCATGGTTTCCCCAGAACCATTGTCACTGACAGAGACGGTATATTCTTGAGCTCTTTTTGGTCAGAATTATTTAAGCTGGCAGGAACTCAGCTTAAATATAGTACAGCTTACCATCCTCAGACTGATGGTCAGACTGAGGTGGTTAACAGGTGCTTAGAGACCTACCTGAGGTGCTTAACTGGAAGGAAACCTAAGCAATGGAATCAGTGGTTACATTGGGCAGAATTCTGGTATAATACTAATTATCATATTTCTTTGAAGCAGACTCCTTATAAAGCATTGTTTGGTTTAGATCCACCTGCTGTGATAAGAGGTGATGTGACTCTCACTGCAGTGGAGGAAGTTTCTAGACTAACTGCACAAAGAAATGCTATGATAGATGAGTTGAAGGAAAACCTTGCGAAAGCTCAAAATCTTATGAAGCAGCAGGCTGATAAACATAGAAGAAAGGTACAACTGGAAGTGGGGGATCAAGTATACTTGAAGATACAACCTTACAAACTCTAGAGTTTGGCTAAGAGAATCAACCAGAAGCTGAGTCCCAGGTTTTATGGGCCATTTCAAATTCTAGAAAAGGTTGAATCAGTAGCCTTCAAGCTTCAGTTACCTGAGGACAGCAAGATACACCCAGTTTTCCATGCCTCACTATTGGAGAAAGTAATTGCTCCTACCACATCATTTCAACCTCTTCCTAAATGCCTGAATGAGGACATGGAATTGCAAGTGATGCCAGAAGAAGTGCTGAACACCAGGATGAATGCAGAAGGAAAAGTTGAGGTCTTGATAAGATGGAAGAACCTCCCAAGTATTGAAGATTCATGGGAACTACTACAGAAGCTGAAAGAACATTTCCCAGATTTTCACCTTGAGGACAAGGTGAATCTTAAGGGGGGGAGTAGTGATAGAGACATGGGAGATACGCCTATTAAATATTGTAATAAGGTGTATAAAAGAAGGAATAAAAAGGGGTAGTGAGTTAGTTAATTAGCCCGTTAACTAATTAGTATTCTATCTTGAGGGAATATTGATATAAATAGAAGGTGAGCAGCTAAAATAAGGAGGTTGTTATTTCTGTTGGCTTCGGCTTTGGAGATTTGGGCTTCTCGAACAGTCCTGAGATTGTATTGTGTTCCTCTTGTTCAATAAACTTTCTGATCAGTTTCATTATCATTTCTGTTAGATCTACTCGTTTATATCAGTTGAATTGCAGTCGCAATCTATCATGGAACCTTTCCCACTCGCTCCACAAGTAATCTAATGCCTCCATCTCCACCATATAATGAGGGTAGTAGTGGATTTTTCTCTCAAAAGCATGATGCACCAGTAGATGGGACTAGCTACTTCATAGGAGAGGTAACTATCTTTTTTTTTGCATCATTGATGCTAACAACAGTGTAATCTTGTTTTGCTCTTCTTCTTGACTTTTTTCAGGTCATGCATGCCTATCTAGCAGAGTCAGATGCAGAGCTCACATTGTCAATGGGTGACTATGTTGTTGTTCGCCAGGTCTGATCAGCTCTTGTTCATTTGCGTGGATTTCACGTATATTCTTTGTAGGTTGTGTGTGGAAAACATGCTGATAAACTAGTTACTATTTTATTTAAGTTATGCTGAGAAGCTAGATGATCTTGATATTAGTGTTAAAAGTAGCTGATAAGTTGTTCTTGAAATACTCATTACAAAATGACACCAAATGATGTGTTTATAATTGTTTAAAGAACATATTAGGGTACTAATAACTAATAAGACGTGTAGGATTAGAGTGGTCAAGAATGATATGATACTATTTGGGTTAGATGGAGTATGACTTTGGAGAGGGCGAAATGGAGGGAAAGCATATATGTGTGGACGATTGATCTTATATTGTTTGTGTCCTTTCTCTATCTAATGTTTTTAACTCTGATATAATATGTCGGTTAATGTTTTTGGAATAAGGTTTATATGTTGTTATTGTAACATATTAGGATATGTTGTACGTTATATGTGTGATTTCGTGATTGTTCTATATTAGTCAAGTTAGTTGTCTACTTTTAAGCAACGAACCAACAAAAACTAATCTGTCTTTTCGCCTAGGGGCCTGAATATTTCTCCTTTTCTTCCCGCATTTCTTTATCTTCCTCTATTTGCCCTCTCATTCTGTTATTTTTTGCACCCTCTACTCTTTTATTAGGAGCAAGAAACTTGCTCTTGAGATTTCCCAGATACGTTCCTTGAGTAGGGTTCATGTCAAATTTGAATCGTGGAGCCGAAAGAAGTGATTCTTAACTGTTTAAAACTACTTTTATACTAAAAACTGCGTAATAAAAACTTTTCATACTTTTTCACCCATAACTTGTTATGGATTTTCACATTTTTTCACCACATTTATTATCCCACATATAATCATACCGATAGCATAACCTAAAATGTGAACGATATTAGAAGTTATAAGTTTTTTCTTAGATGTTTATTTTGTATTATAAAGTTTTTACTTTACAGTTTCAGTTTAACTATGACCTCTCACATGATCCTTTCCTTTTAGTGGATATCAAATCACCAATGTGCTTAAATCATACACACACAAGGAAAGGATCATGTGTGCTTAAAATCATACTAATTCTGGGTGCCATTTGACTGGTGATTTGATATCCACCAAAAGGTGCGGAACAATGGTTGGGCAGAAGGTGAATGCAAAGGGAGAGCCGGTTGGTTTCCTGTTGGGTACGTGGAGAGACGAGATCGCGTTCTAGCAAGCAAAATGGCTGAAGTTTTTTAAGATTTTTGTTTATTAAGCCAAATATTCGTTCAGACAAAGTATGCATCCTGGAAGACTGCTATCATTAGGCTTTCATAGCTGTGAGTGTTTCCCTTAATATTTTGTTTTTTTGTGTGTTCCCTTTATATTATGTTTCCCTTTTAGCTAATCATTAGTGCACTTTTCTCTTTCCCCCCTTATGCACTGTAGCTAATCTCTTCAGCTAATCTTTATGGCTTGGTCCCATTCTGGTCCTCAAATATATTGAACCTTAATTGGACCCGGTTGTAGTTGGTTTGGGCCGTTCGGCTCGAGTCAGGTCAGAATGGGCGGCTCCTATGTTCTATGCGGTTCTTGCTAGTTAAACTTGTGACTTCAAAGCTGTTAAAAGAAAAGAAAGAATCAGAAGTTCAGAACAGGCCAGTCCCTGCCTCGTGCCTTATATTTTATGAACCAGATTGAGAAAGTAACCAGTTTTTGGTTAATCAGTCCTGGTTGAAACAGGAAGTTGGAGCCCGGTGTGTCATGTAGACATGTAGTCATGCCTAATTCGCTGCTATTTCCAACATCTTGTTAATGTTTTTATTTAATTTATTTTTCTTGGTTTGGTTTTCCTTTTTTTTAAACACAAGAAAACGCGTTTTAGCCTTTAGACTTCAAACTTCAAAACAGTGTTTGCTTTCACGGTTTCACCTTTTGAAAAGAAAACCAGAATTTTGAATAATTGTTTTCCAATTTCTAAAATACACGCTCCCACTTTTGTACTTTTACAAACATCAACTTTTCCCTTTAATTTGGTCCAAAAGGTGGAATCTCCCACCCATGAGCCCCACCCCGACTCGAGAGGATGGTGGGGGATTTAATCACGGTGACTCAGTCAGCAAAGCGGTGGTAGACCTTATAAACGTGCGCATCAGAGGTCCAGCCTTATTTTAGGTTCTGTAACCTTCACACGGCCGTTGTGGGTTTCGAACCTTGGTCACTTGGTCTAAATTTCCGACTAGTGGTGGACTCAGGCTGGGTGGCCCGACCCGGAATTGGCCCGGGTGGCCTGACCCGGAACTGGCCTGGGTGGCCTGACTCGGAACTGGCCCGGGTGGCCTGACCCGGGACCGGTACTGTTTCGGCCCGGCCTGAACCGGTGGCCCGGTTAGTGACCGGTCTGGGTAGTGACCGGTCCGGGTAGGCCTGACCTGAGGGGTTTCTGGTTCGGGCTCGGGTCACCCAAAACAAGGCCCGGCCTGGTTCGGGCCAAATTGATTTTTTTTTTTGTTTTTTTTCATTTGTTTGGGCTCGGTTTGGGTTAGGTTTGATGTTTAGGAGGGGTTTGGGGGGGGGGCTGGGTGGGGGTGAGGGGGGGTCAGGGATAGGTAGGTAAGCAAAAAAAAAAAAATTAACCAAGCCCGAGGCTCAGCCCAGACCTGGCCCAGACCCGGTGGCTACCCGGGCTGGTCTCGGGTCCACCCATTTAGACCTGCCGGCCCGACTCGGACGCGGCCCAAATCCTCTCCTATTTCTCACCACTTGACCAACTGAGCTACCCGTGCGGGTACTTTTCCCTTTAATTAATACTCTGTAGCATTTATTTTCAGAATAACTGTAGTAACTCATCTTTTTTTCCATCTTTGAAAATGGAACAAAGGGACATAAATCTTCATTTGCTTCTGATAAGTTTGCTCACTATTCCACAAATATGTAAAAGCTCAAAAGTTTTTCTAATGTAAGCTTGGAAAGATTTAAAATGGCTAAAGTTATTGAATTTAAAAAATCACTGAAATTGCGGCTGAATCGTTAATAATTTGTCTTTGAAATGTATTTTGTTCATAAAATGAGACAAACTAGGGGGGAAATGTTTAAATTCATCACCTTGGCTTATTGGGGCTACACAAGCTCATCAACTGCAACAAAAAGTGTATCCAGTTTTATTTAATTTACCAATTCAGAGTGGAATGATGAAAAAACACATCAACTGGCTTCTAAATATTAGGTGGGATTTTTAAAGAAGAAAATGTATGAAAAAAAGATTTGAATCACATGAAGCCATGAGGGTGGTCATGTATTCATACCCTACGAGGGCCACAGCGATTTCTTAAGATATTTTTTTCTTACTAAATTCATCTATCTTCGAAGTATGAAACTTTTGATGACATGAATTCATAATTATACTACTCCATTCTTTAATAATTGAGATGATTTGACATTTGCACTATTCTCATACTATAATTTGAACATATATTATAACATTATTATGTATTAGAAAATTGAAAAATAGTGTTAAGTTTGTCTCAATTAAAGTAGATTCTAAACTTTGTGCCAGTGTAAAATTTGTTTGTTTACTAATAGCAATAAATAAAAGCATCAAAGTTGTGTACTAAGAAGCAAGTAAATCAAATTGTAGATTGCAAATACATAATAATGGAAAAGTATTATAATTAGACAATATAAAAAGCTATAGAATGAATTGGTCACATGAATTAAAATATATATTCTCGCTTCGACTCCCAAAACAATTTATCACCTTCTCCATTCAAATGTTTCAAAATGAAGTTCTCATTTTTATATAAAAAAAAATTAATAGAAAATTTCATAACTTCTCTTACTTTTTCATTTACTTTTTGTTTTTATTGGACATAAAGTAAATGTAATAAAATCCTTTATTTTTTACGAAACTGACATCAATAATCCATACCTCTACCCATTTTTCTGTAAAAGTTTAACTGAATTTCTTTTGCTGGCCCACTCGAACGCTATTGAGTTCAATATGATTGAAGTATCGAATACTACTTCGTATTATAGCATTTGCCTTAAACCTAACTCTTACGGAGTACGTAGTATGTAGTATGTACTCCGTATTTATCTGCCATTGCCTATTAGTCAACATTTTTTACAAAGTAAAAGAACTGTAAAATGATGTTTCTTTGGAACTTGTAAGTATTTTCCCCTACGTTCCAAATAATAGTATTCACTACAAAAAACAATGATTTTGGCATGGATTAGCCGAAATTTAGAGGGTATTTGACACGGATTTGACACGAATACGTCAAATCCGTGTTAATGCTGTTTTGTCACCAACTATTTGACAAGACACGTGCCAAAAATATGTCATGATCCGTGTCAAACTCGATCGATCCGTGCCAATATCCTTGTTTTAGTTTATATCTTTACACGTTTCATTATAGGCTGATTTAGAATGAATCGAAGTTTATCTGAAAATAGTACGTGGTATTAATTAATTGAGGTTACGCACATCAACTAAAAGTGTTATTCTAATATAACAATTGAAGGTAAATATGATGAAAATTTAACAAGTAAGATGTTAAAAGAGAAATGAATTAAACATAAACTATTGAATGAGAACTCAACTTAGGGAGTCTTTGCAAATGCTTTTGCTTGAAAAAAACATTTTTTGAAGTGATTTTGGAAAAAGTGATTAATAGTAATAGTTGATAGTGTTTGAAAAAAGTGATTTTGAAAAGTAAAAGTTGGTAGCGTTTGGAAAAATAAGTGTTTTTTGTGTAATAGAAAAAGTAAAAAACATTTTTCACTCAAAAGTCAAGAACCGCTTTTTAAGTAAAAATTGTCTATTAAAACACTAATTTTAGCTTTTTAAAACCAAAAGACGAAAAACGTTTTTTTAAGCTATTATAAAGGGATCCTTAGAATGAATATATGGACTATGGAGTATCGGTTTAAGAAAACGCCTTGAACAAAACTAAATATAACACGTTCTTCTTGAAATGTGACTCTTTCAATTCACCTCTTAACAAGAAGTTTTAACTGCTTTTATTCCTTTTTAATACAAAATGACTCCAACTTGGTATTACTCAATATTTCTTATATCTTTACACTTTCAGGATCTCCTTTATTATGTATTTAATCCATGACCACCTTTATTAATATAATCAAATTTTATCCTTTTGGTTATATCAATTATAATGGCATAGTTTGTCGTTTTCCTATATTTGCTAATGCTATTACAACATATGTAGGGACTAGAAAGTGAAACCTTATTTGAGTACCTATATTTGTGATGATTGGCGCAAAAGACAGATAGAGAACTACATTACTCCCTCCGTCCCTAAATTATCTTCAAACTTTCCTTTTTCATCCGTCCCAAAATTATCTCCTCTTCCTCCCTTTAGCAAAAAATTTGTGGTTCACAACCATTCTTACACATTCTTACACATTTCTCTCTCCTCTGCACAACTCTCCACCACACAAATCTCACTATCTTAATAAATGTGCCCAGCCGAAAAGGGAGAAAGATTAGGGAAGGAGGGAGTATTATATTTCAAAAAAAAAGTTATTTAAAGTTTATGACTATTATTTAAACACTACAAACTTCAGGACTATTATTTAAACACTAGAAACTTTAGGACTATTATTTAAACACTAGAAAGTGAAACCTTTTTATTATACTATCCTCCATTCCGTTTTAATCGCAACATGTTGAATTTTACATTATTCATATGCTCTAGTTTGGCTACATTTTACGCTATTATTTTATGAAAATTATTTTTTAAAAAATATATTGTTCAATTCATCTCATTACAAATATTCAAAATCTGATTTTTAATATTTTTTTACTAATAGAATTAAGGTATAATTACAGTCAAAGACGTGTGTTGACAAATGTGAAATGTTGACCGTTACAACTAAAAAAGAACGGAGTATTTCAAAAGATTTGTGGAAATGAATTAAAAGTTGCCAACTACAGACCTACAGTAACCTTTTTGAGCTGGATCAAGCGTATTAGCCAGCCTGGCCACCCTACCCTGATACACTCATCTTAAACATTTCAAGTAGGTCATATGGCAATTCATTCATTGCTAAAAGTTGGAATGCTCTGTTAAAAAGTCAAACCCAATATATTTAAGATCATACCTCTTTAAAAAAATTCAGACATAAAACTAAATTAGATTCTTCTAACTACAAGTGTGTTGAGAGACAACTGTATCCAATTTTTTATTTAAACACGAACCTTGATTTTTTGACAAGATCGAGATTAATAAACTTTCCTGTTCATCTTATTCTAATTAATTATTCTCCATTCTTATTTTATTCGGATCAGATTTTTAAATACTGGCATATATATATATATATGAATGTGACTTCTCTCTCAACTTCTTGAACGCATTTTTTGAGCGTTTTGAGATTCTATCACGGACTTGACAAAATCAGAGCACACAAACAGATTCTTCCTTACTGTGAAGTACACGTACAGTACCCTGACCATACAGATCTTGGCCACAATGCAATGTTTATAAATGGTGACTAGTAGATACTCCTTATTATAAATTCCAAAACTCTAATTCATGGATTGATTTAATTCTTTTAATCTATAATTTACAAGATTCTCGCCCAATTCATTATGCAACATAGGATTGATGTAAAACAACAAAAAGTTATACGATATTACAAGTTTCTGAGTTACTCCTATCAATTTAATTTTTTGAGACTGAACTTCAAGTCTTAATAATTACCTTTATCGATCATTATTCAATCATCTAGAATCATGGAAAATGAAATGGTGAATTTTAATTTGAGATAGATGGAGTATATTAAGTGCCCGTTTGTCAATACCTAAATCGGCTGATTCTGCTGAAATTTATGAAATTCTGTGTGAAATGGCTGATGATTTATTAAAAAATTATATTTAAAATATATTTTATTAATAAAATAAAGAAAAAATTATATATAAAAATAGCTAAAATAGTCCTCTACAGTAACTTCAGTCAATACAAGCAAAAAAGTAACACCGCGAAATCAAAAATTACTTCTTTGATGAAAAAGTTGAGTGATAAGACAGAAAAACTGGGCTACCGAAAGGGCACTAAGTTTATTAAAAAATGTATGATCTGATCCAAGACCTTCTGAGAAGAAGGGGATGTCCTTCATGTGCCTGCCATTGACTGTACCTGTTTAGGTTATGTCAATTACTTAAATCACATTTCCTTATTGGGGCTTGTTGCCTCTCAGGAGACATGCCACATGCTTCTTGGGTGGGTGCCGTTCGATCAAGAATTGAATGGCCTGGATCATCTTCATTTATGGACTCGAGCCCACACTATTTGTCCAGTCTCACCACTAAGCGTGGACCATCCGATGCAAGGATCGGACGGCTGAGATGAACCATGCATATTTGGGAATCTTAACACTACTAACATGAATATGAACTCATTTAATCACAAAAAGCTATGAGATATGTAACGTGGGATACATAAGATAAGTTTGAACAAAGAGGACTTGTTACAAGAGCAAAACATACCCAAAATTACCACACAAAACCATATCAAATTCCCTATAGAGAAATCGAAAAAAAGAA